AAGAAAGAAGTGCAGGTTTGGAAGTGGCCCAGGAGAGCCAGTCATTTGTCTATCTCTGAAAGGCCTGGCTCACTGGGATCCTTCATTAACACTATCCAGCAGCTTCCCACAAAGTGTGCAGCATGATGAGGCATGGAATGTCATCACTGAGCACAGGCCTCTGCCTTTTAAGACATTGTTGTATTTTTCTCAGAGGTGAGAAATAGTTTATGTCCTACATGTAGAGTACAGCTGTCACATGTGCTGGTAGTGCAAAAAAATTAGCACAGTCACTCCTGATCTTCTCAGTATGCTTCTGATTTTAAAACTTTTTTTTTTCTTTTTAACAATTCTAGGGCCATGATACAACTGCAGCTGCAATAAACTGGACCTTATACCTGTTGGGTTCCTATCCAGAAATCCAGAGAAAAGTGGACAATGAACTAGATGAAGTATTTGGTATGTTTGACCCCCTCACTAATGAGCGTGTAGATCCCAAGTGCACCAAAGCAAACTTACTCCTGCTCATTCAGGATGTGCAGGATGACCTGCTCTAAGGACACTGTCCAAGGTAGGAAGGCTCCCGCAGAGTCCCTTCCAGGACCTGTCTCCTCTGCAAGGCCCTACCTATTCCGTTACAAGTATTTGTTGAGCTGCTGATACCTGACTGCCCTGGGCTAGATTCTGGGTCTGCACAGATTCTTGGGACTGAGCCCAAGGAGGAAGTACTTAGTGGGTAAATTGGCACCTCTACATAAAGCTTCTCTTCCTGGGCCGTGTCCTTGAATGACATGAAGAAGGGAACACAGAGGAGCAGGTGGAGCTGTTAGAAGGATAAAGGAACACTATTGCATATGGGACTATATCTGACACAGCTGGCAACAGGAGGCATCAAGCTTATCTTCAAAGCCCCAAGAAAAGAGAAGTGAGGATCAGTGGTGTATTAATTTCCTGTTGCAGCCGTAACAAATTCCACAAATGAGAAGACTTAACAGAAATATATTCTCTCATTTTTTCTGAACAGTAGAAATACAAAATTAGTATTACGAAGCTTAAATTAATGTGTTTCCAGGTTAAATGTTTTCCTTTTGGAAAAAAAATCACTCCTTGCTGCTAATATCCCTTGGCTTATGGTAACATTATTCAAGCCTCTGCTTATGGGTACCTGGCATCCACCACCTACTCTTCGTGTGTGTGTGTGTGTGTGTGTGTGTGTGTGTGTGTGTACATGCACGTGTGCACGCATGTGCATGTGTGTGTATTAAGGATACCACATTTTAAGTTCCTTAATTTAATCACTTCTGCAAAGTCCCTTTTTCCCCCCAAGTAAGGTAATCACAGGTCCCACGAATCAAGACTTGACATTTGGAGGGCCCATTATCAGTCTACCATAAGATTCTGACATCAATTTTATCCTTTTAAAAATCACATGTCACATGGCTCTCCATAGCCACAAGACAAAAGGAAAAAACTTGACTTAGCTTACCAAAGTGTGGTATCTGATGCACTTGCATAGAGACAAGAAGTGAGAAAGGAAAACAGTGGAGAGAAAAATCATTCTAGAAAGAGAGGAGCCAAAGGAACAATGGCACTGAAGTGGGACGCTTTCTGGCCTGCAGAGAATTATGCATAGTGAGAAACAGCTACAAGTCCGGCTACCTGGGACAATGTAGAATTAAGAGATCAAGTTGGAAAGACAGGTTTGTGTGCAGACAATGTGAAGGCTGGGCTTTTCCAGCAAGAAGTGAGACTTTTATAGAGTTGAGATATCTAAACTTGAGTTTCACTTCTGTAGACAGGTTTTTCTCCATATCAGTTTTACTTTCTCTCAGGGTACCTCAGGGTGTGTAAGGTCAGTTTTCTAAAAGGTCACAAGGTATTTTGAAGTGAGTCACATTTTTCACATACTCTACAATTTGTATCTCATTGCCATATCATTAAAGCTTTTAATTTTGCATAATTACTAACACAGTCATCATTGCTAGAATCTTAGTTTTGCAGCTTGTCATTTTTGTGTTTGTTATACTCCCTTTTTCTCATATATTATTCCTGAAGTTAGTTTCAAATTTTTTGAATTATCAATCTTTGCTTATTGAATTGAATGTCTTCCTTTCATTATAATTGAGGTAAATGTCACGTAATGTGAAATTAATCATTTTAAAATGCAAAAATTTAGCAGCATTTAGAACACTCACAATGTGCTTGTCATCACTAATTTTAAAATATTATCAGTGCCCCAAAGGGAAACGCTGTACCATAAAATAGCCTTCATTCTCCATTCCCCAAGCCCTAGTCATTGCTAATTTGTTTGCTGTCTTTATAAATACAGTCATATAATATATGACCTTTTGTACTTGATTTACTAATTAGCATATTATCTCATTTTATTTTGATTGTGAATAATATTAGAGGTTCTAATGTTACCTGTCGGTATTTAACATTTGATGTTTCAAGTCATATATTCTTCTTTGGTGCCCCCATCACCCCCTTCAACTACAGAGAGTTCTTTTATTGTCATCTTATGCACTTTCTTTAATCAGGGAAATCTGATCGTCCTGTGACCGTGGAAGACCTGAAAAAACTTAAATATCTAGACTGTGTCATTAAGGAGACCCTTCGCATTTTTCCTCCTGTTCCTTTATTTGCCCGTTGTCTCAATGAAGACTGTGAAGTGGGTACGTTTTCTACAGGTAGAATGATAGGGAAGGTGGCTTTTTTCAGTAATGTCTGTCTTGTTCTATGAATATGACGTGATGCTTGCTTCTTGCCAGCTGGATACAAAATTGTGAAGGGCACTCAAGCCGTCATCCTTCCCTATGCCTTGCATAGAGATCCAAGGTACTTCCCCAATCCAGAAGAATTCCAACCAGAGCGGTTCTTTCCAGAGAACATGCAAGGACGCCATCCCTACTCCTATGTGCCCTTCTCTGCTGGACCCAGAAACTGTATAGGTTTGTATCCATGGGAATGGGTTCCATCTCTCAGGCCCATATGGTAGGAGTTTTCCCACAAGAAGCTCTTTAAGATGTGATACAGCCCTACCTGTGGACAGCTGTCTTAAAAATACTAGTTCCCTTTTACCTCCACTTTAGAGTTTTGAAATATTACTCTATTGTCAGAAAGTATAAGGGTTTCCTAGGGCTAGCCTTATGGAGTACCCCAGGTGGGGTAATTTAAACAATAGAAATAAATTGTTTCAGTTTTGGAAGCTAAAGTGTCCACAAGCCTGCTCCCTTTGAGGCTTTGTTCTTTGGCTCAGTTGGCTGCCTCCCCCCACCCCCCACCGCTGTGTCTCTACTTGGTCTTGGTGTGTGTGTCTGCTGTGTGTGGATAGGGTCCACCCTGATGGCCTCACTTAAGCTTAATGAAGTTTAGCTGTTTAATATTATCTACTTCTTTCCTTCTTCTTTTTTTTTTGGTTGTTCATAAGTATTGAACTTACACAGTGCTAAACTTTACCATCAGCCTTTTCAGCCTTTTTATTTTTTTGAAACAGGGCGTGCTAAGTTGCCCAGGCTGTCCATGAGTTTGTGTTCTTCCTATCTCAGGCTCTAGAGCGGCAGAGCAGTGAGGATTACAGGCAATCACCACCATCTCTGATCATCAGTTACCTTAGAGACCCTATCGCCAGTATAATCAAAGTGTAAAATCCAGGGATCACAACACCCACATAGGAATTTTGGATGGGGATACAATTGAATGTACAATATAAAATACTCAGTTTCATGGTAGTCTTTAAGAGTTGCTGATTTGGGAGTAAGGTAGAATGTAATTTATTGTGATAAGAATATGTGGCCCACTATGTTTAACCTAATCTGTTGGGGGGGGGGAGGTTAAAAATTGCATTTTTGCAAAACCAAAATAAAGTGTGCTTGCCATCTGGCTAGTTGAAGTGCTTAAGCAAAATGGTGCACATTCCCACAGTTATGAGCACTTGGCTTTAGTATCTGTGGCATCCTGTATTCATTCATATGAGTGTGGACATTAGTACAATGAAGCCCAGTTGAAATGAGTAAATCCGAAGCCAGTTGATGGCACTGTTATAAATTAAGGAGTGAAAAAAAGCACAATGTAAAGAATTGATTCTTACCCTTGGATGAGCCCAGGATTCATCTGAGGTACACACGTCCCTTGTGTCTTCCAGGAAATGGTTCCAGAACCTTCTGCAGATACCAGACTTTGTAAAAAATACTCAAGTATATTTGCTGTAGTATTTCCTTCTAAGCTACACACAGCCTCTAATATACTTTAAATCATCTCTACATACATGCAATATCTAAAATAATGTAAATGCCATGTGAATAGCATATAACAGTTGTTATATTGCATGGTTTGGGGAAAAACAAAAAAATTCTGTTCAGTATAGATGGACATTTTATAAATATTTTCTTTCTAACATTGGCTGAATCCCAAGAGGTGGAACGTGTGATACTGAGGACTGTCTGTCCTACTAAAATACAAAGTCTTAGCTCACTGCATTATTCAGACCCACAAGGTTGGAACAGAAAACAATACTCAAAAAATCTTCATCTTGAGGGCTGCCAGATAGCTTATCAGATTAAAGTGCCTGCTTAGGCAGACGCAGGGGCCTGGGATTCGATCCCGGCCTACCATCCGGCCCTGGGGTAATTGAGATTGGGTGTGGTGGTGCATGCCTGTAATTCCAGTGCTTGGGAGGCTGAAAAACAGGAGGATCACTATGGGTCCCATCTGTGTAGTGTTACCCTGTGGACCCTGTACTAAATAAAAAAATAAAATAAAATAAACATTAAAAAACCTTCATCTTTATGAAGCATTTTGAGTGATTATGATTCTCTTAGGTCCTACATGAAAACACAAAGTAGCTTTTTTTTCCCATAGTAGGGCCTCTAATTTCTCTCATTTGTGTCTATAATTAAAGTGATAGTGTTTACATTTTTTTGAAGGTCAAAAGTTTGCTGTGATGGAGGAAAAAACCATTCTTTCCTATATCCTGAGACGGTTTTGGGTAGAATCCAACCAAAAAAGAGAAGAACTTGGCCTCTCTGGAGAGTTGATTCTTCGACCAAATAATGGCATTTGGATCACACTGGAGAGGAGAAATGCAAACGGAGCCAAACTGTGTACTCCAGCTCCGCCTTGATCGTGAAAACGATCTTGGGAGAAGAAAAATTTGAAATTTGTGATTTATAAATCATGAGTTCAGTATTCTGAATCACCAGGCCTAATACTTCGTTGCTCCACTGATCTTGGGATCCAGTCTATGAATCAGAGAGTCTTATTCTTATGACCACCATAGATGCTACATTAAACCTAGGCTTGGCCTCAGAGGTCCAGGTAGCCGAGCTGGGACCAAAATAAACCTGTTAACAAGTTTCTCAAGAGATGGTTCTTCAGGCCATGTCAATGTCATTTGATAAACTCAAAGAATATAGTTTAATTGAAGCTTCAGAATATTTTACAGTTATTATGGTTGACTTGCGAATATATATAAGGGGTGATCAAAATGTACAGTGACTATTTAGTTAAAAATATTACTCCTGTACACACTGACAGTGATGTTCCCTCAAAATACTTTCCTGGCTTCAAACACACGTATCCCATTGTTGCCACTTTCTGAATCAGTTCCTGTAGATGTGCTATTTCAGGTCCTTATGAGTTTGATAAAAAATACTATATATATCTATATATATATACATATATATGAAAAGCAGGCTCAGAACAACATCGCTGTGTATCCTTACCAACCTTATTTACAAGATCCGGTGCTGTGTGACTGCTGGATCAGCCCCCAAATCAAAGTGACCACGGAAATAAACATTTTGAATTGATTTAGTATATTGCAGCACTCAGAACGGTGCCACTAAAGACACTTACAAAAGAGAACTTACAGAACTGCTTCAGGAAGCAGCAACAATGGTGGAATACATGTGTTCGAAGCAAGAGTTCTGAAGGAGATTGATGACTACTATGTCTCTCTGTAACAATTTTTTTTTTTTTTTTACAATTTAAACAATTTGGTATTTTTTATCACAGCTCATATCACGTAACTTGAAAATGGCCAATAGGCAAGCACGTTGCCTTAAGAGGCTTATGTTTTTAGAATGTATCAGGGTCATCAGTTATGAGAATAATTCTTGTGCACTTTTCAGATTTTATTATGTGTAGCAGATCATTTACAAGTTAAATTCTGTTGCCTTCTTGACTGCACTTAACTGTCTTCTTTTCTGTAGAAGAATCTCTTCTTGAAGAGATTCCTCTTGGTAATCTTTCTTCTTTCACAGTACCTCAGAGGGTTGATTAAATTCAGAGCTGGACTGACCTCAGAACTCATCTGCTCATATCCTCTTATATTAGAATGAGGGAAGGGAATCAATAAGAAGGTAATTTTTTTACCAGAAGTTATGCTGTCAGCTCCTAGATTAGGTGAAGATAGAGGTCTGTAATCTAAGTACCTCTACTCTAATTCTTATATACTTCCTACCACAATATGCTATTGCTCCATGGAACTGGGGCCTATGACTAGCTGTGTTCTTAGAACTCAGGGTTTCTGCCTTTGGCTTAGGCATATTTCTCTTGGAATCCTTCCACCTTTAACAGGTATCTATATTTAGCAAACCACTAATATTTCAGTTTAGCTCTGGAACTGCAGTCAATTCCATCCAAAGAACATACCTGATCAAACAGATAATGTGTACACATTCTCTGAATTTTAATTTGTTACACAATGTCTCTACTTACTGAATTTTTTGGAAAAAAAAAACTCTAAGTAATTTTAAGAAAATAATTTGCTTTTTCCAATTTTCCCAAGGCACTAGCCTATAGAAGAAACAAATGAGGAGGGCAAAAATATGTGTCCTTCAGTAGCTAACAAAGGAAGAGGTGACAAAACCAGAGCCATCTGACAGTCAGCCTGAGACTTGAGGGTCACAGCAGCAGCGACACTCATGAACTCTCCGGAAACTTTTGTACCTAATGGTCCCTAGTTGAAGAGAAAACACCAAGAAAGTGCACAGTACACTTGGAGATGATTCTCATGAAAGGTTAGCCATCTGGAAAATGGAGTCTGTAGTAAATATCATATATATATATATATATATATATATATATATATATATATATATATATATATATATATATATATGGTAATACAAGTTTTATTCATAGAAGATCTCAATTTATGCACTTACATTTAACCCTTTTTCAATTTTCAGTGAATGTGCATTAGATGTCAAATTAAATTTACAAAAAACATTGCTTACTGTTTAATATTCATTTAACCCAAGAACGATCTGTTATTCGTATTTTATTTGTTTAAATGATGCCAGAGTTGGAACTGGAAAAATATGTCATCTGTCTTTCATCAAATATCTGTGTCCTAATCATCTGCCTTACTTATGCTTGAAAGAGCTGTCTCAAGAAAAATAAACTACATTTTAGAATCGGGTACTATGTTTTTCTTCTAATAATGTATGTTAGCTTGAAATGCAACTTTAAAAGGCAAATCAGTGGAAGCTCACTGATAATGAAGAAAATACTTTTGAGTTGAAGTCGCCAGTGACACTCAGACTCTTTGATAACATGTTTTTTGTGCCTTTGTCACAGAGTATGTATTTCCCTTACTCTGAGGAATAAAGAAGTAGAATACCAGGGCATTTGGCTCACCTGACAGCAGAAATTGAAATCATATAGAACCACTTGGGAATCCACAGAAGTGACTGAGTGGTTGGAATCCATGAGTTTAGAATCTCAGAATCTCACAAGGTGATATACTGTTGAGCTGGCGTGCTACCCACTGTCATGGACAACTGGAGAGTGTCCCTTTCTTTCACCTGTGTCACAATTAAGAGATACTGATTGTGAAAATATATTTTTTAAATCCTAGAATATTTCTAGAAGAATAAAAATATCCTAGATTGTAATGAGATGCCTAATTGGTATTTAAAATGTCTCTAGGAAGAGCACATCCTTGTATTTTGGGACTATCCTATGACAAAGCCCTTCTCTATGTTCTCCTTTCACCTTCCCAGCATATACAAATACACATGTGCTGCATAGATGTAGGTCACTTGGAGCCTTCATGTTCTTACGTGCTGTACTTTCTTAGCTTAAGTTGAAAGCCCTAAGCTAAGTCAAATCAGAGTTCTTCCTTTGAGGACTCAAGTGGAATTGACAAAAACACATAGTTACTCTCCTTTAGTGGAAACTTCAGGTCCTGAGATTGAGGGAGCAGTGGCAACTAAACCTCTGGAGCAACTTCTGGGAGATGAAGTGGTGGTGGTGGTGGTGGGCAAGGAAAGCACCAGAAAGAGCTTGATGTTCCACATGGTGCTGAGCTTCCTCCACGTCTGTCCTGCCATGTTCAGTTGTTCAACCTGCCTTGGAAGCCAAGAGCCAGGGTACTACTATTTGGCTTAAGTGAATTGCCTTGAACTTGTACACCAAAGCAATTTAGTGGTTGTCAGGTCATGTGTGGATGAAGACAGGGGTCCTGTCCTTTAGAAATGATCTTGTCTTTCCTCTTTCCTTTCTGATGTTGCACAGCTCTCCTCTCTTTTGTGTTTTTACTACATGTGTCCACTAGCCTATTGAATGCAGTATCATTTAAGAAAATGAAACTTTTTGTGTATTGTGGAAAATTTTAAAGTACAGTGCTTCATTTTAGGATTCTAGAATAAAATTAGGTCTTCTCTAACCCAGCAGTCCAGTTTCTAAACTCAACACTGCTCAAAGCTCAGACTGAGATTCTTTTTGTGTTCTCTAATTAAACCAGGTTCACTCTGGTTTTTCTCCTGACTAGATGTATTTCACATTTTATGGAGAAATCTCGCATATATAGTTGCTAACAATGGACTGATTGCATTCTCTCCTCAGATTCTTATCCAGAAAGTCACCTGATGGTTATTTCTTTAGGCCTTATGGGCCAAATACAACATTAAATTAGCTGAAGTCTTTAGCTGCTTTGACTCTTGTTGTTTTGATCCTAGAAGATACATTTTGGGGTACTATTTTTCTGTTATCCATAATTCTATTTTCTTTTACTCATCACTTTCTTTTCATTGGGTCTTATATGTATTGATTCCTAACTTTCCTGACATGGGTTAATTTATATTCCATCAAAAGCTGTCCAGAAATTTATATCTCTATGTAAAACATTTTGATAATTTTTTCTTTTTTCTGCAAGACACATATAGGCAATATAAGTCTTATCAGGAAGAAATTTATCATAATATTTAGGCATGATTGTTTACTTCCATAACAGCTGATTTCAGATCACATACTCAAAGGGAGTCCAATAAGGTAGATGAGAGATTGTGACATAGCCATTACCATGTCAGAGCACAAGATAATACCCACATGTTAACCGTGATGCAGATGTAAGAAAATCTGCAGCTCTACCAGTTCTATAAAGGTACTACACCATAATGGCAAACACACTCTTACTGTTTTTTTGTTTTGTTTTGTTTCGTTTGCATTTTTCTAGTGCTTGGGTTAGATATACAACTCAGTGGTAGAATTGCTTAACAAACATGCATGAGATCCTCAGTTTGATCTCAAGCACTGCAACAAACAAACACAAAAAAAGTTGCTGTAAAATAATACATTATGCCATGCTATCATGTATGCTGATGGTAGCCTCATTTGGTCATGTTTACCCCAGCAGCTGGTCACAACATTTGCCCTTGTGCTTGATTTAATCTCATATTATTTTATTTTATTTTTAATTATTTTTGTTTTAAGCATAATTTTATTGAGAAAGAAATAGCAATGAGACAGTTTCATAAAAGGTTAGTAAGACAGTTACAATAATTAATACATTTCATATTGTCATTATAGTAGTTACGCATAGTACAAGATGCAGAAATGATATCTTGTCTAAATACTATTAGTACAGATCTTCTCATTGAACTAAGAAAGTGGCTATATATCTATCCTATTTTGTATATATAGATATATCTATATTTTTTTCACTATACAATGGTCCTTCATTTATATCCCCCTTTTCTGTTTAGTTTTGTCAGAGATGGGTACCTGTTCCATGTCATGTCTTAGGCATCTGATATTCAGACAGATAGTGATGTTAAGCTCAACTGCCTATGTTATAGGTTAATAATATTAAGCTTCTCTCCTGGAGGGTTGACAACTTAAGTTTACAGACCAAAAAATTAGGGAAAAAGAAGGGCTACAAGGATAGCCAACATTTTGGTCCTAACCCTTCAAGGTCAATGAGGATTCAGGACATAAGAGAACCTGTATTATAACATCCTGTAACTCAGTGGTGTCCCAAATTTTCTTTAAGGAGATTATGGGGCCACAGAGGAAAGTGATTGATGGTGTAGAGTGTGCCTAAGGAGAGTCACCTGGAGAGAAAACATTCTCTCAGGCTTTTATAGAGAGCAAATTGGTCAAGCAATGGCCGTGACTCATCCAGATTGCTGACACTGATGAAAGATCTACAAACTTATATATAGGATTTCAGGGTAACTCCTGATGGAATCTCAATATTTTATTCATGATACCCTG